TAGAATGGAAATGGATAGCTTTAGTCCAGGCCTCCAACCATATCAAAGTTAGCTTGCGCAGGCGTCCAAGATAAACTGACAGCAGCACCTCTAGTTTAGCAGCTTGAAGTTGTTCAGCATCTAGAGTATCACACTGAGGACACATTTTCACTCGTGTCCTATCACAGGTCATTGTCAGAGAGGGGCTTTCTTATCCGCCTGAACCCTGCGCTGACCTACAAATAATACGAGGAGAAGTCATATATAACCATCCATGTTCCTCGTATATACACCACACTGAACAACCCTACGCCACTCTTGTTATAAACACACTTATCATTTACAAAGCCCATAAGCAAGTCTCAGAGAGAGAAAATGAGTGTGATCTAAAAAACTTACAATACACGCACATAAGATAGCGCAAATATCTTGGATATACAACACTAATCACATGAGAAATCCCTACCTAGACAACCAAAACTAGCAAAGAATGTTTCTTATGGGTGATGATAAAAGCCCCACTGCAGCATTTATACGACGCACATCCCCCACCCAAATTCAAGCCACACACTACTTCTGTATAAAAACAAAGTTAGTTACATACTTATTAGGTCCTAACTTTCAAACACAATAGCAAGAGAAAAAAAAATGCCACACCAGACAAAACGTCTCAGGAGGCTATTAGCTGCTTTCGCAGGGCAACCGTCTCCTTCTGCTGCCATTTGAACTTGTGGAGTGACACAAGGCCAAGAAAATTTTGGATAGGTTTACACAAGGTTTTGCCTATTTCAGCCTTCACAGTGTCTATTGATTGACTGGATTGTTAATCTGTGGTTTGGATTACGTTAGGGATGAATGCATGAATGGGCAGATCTGCGCTCCGAGGGGGAGCCTGTGTTATAATGTGTTACAATTACATTAAAACTTGCCCAAACCGTAGGTATATGCCTATTATAGTGCATTAGTTTCATCCTTTGGGCTTGGTTCTGCAGCCAGGCTATTTAAAGCCCATCAATGCAAGTTCTTTTTTTTCCTTGGTATTGTAAGAGCCTTGGAGAGGAGGAGCTCTGTATTACTGCTACTGAGCTTCCCCAGCTGTATCAAAGATAACCAGATATAGACAGGGAAATACCGGAAGTTGAGTCATTTCCCCCATCTAAATAAAACTGGAAATACATAAGTTACAGAATTCCCATTTGATTTATTTATTTTTAATTTTTTTTTACAATTGTTAAACATAGGGTTAAACTTTAGACTTGGTCATCTAGCTTATATAATGTCTACTCAAAAAAAAATGTGTGAAACTACTATAAGGAAAATACATTTAAAGCTTATGTACGCTTAGCCCTATGCTCTTACTCTGAAAGGCCCCGCCGGAACTCGTGCTATACACCGCGTCCGCCTTGACGCTCCTTCCCCTGTCAGTCAGTCCACCTCCACAGCATGCAAATTACTGAGCAACTCCAATATATCGCACATTGGTTAACTACACAGAGCGCGCGGCGCGGCGCGAGAGCAAGGGACGCTGTGCGCGCTTTCATTATTGTGAGTGGACTGTAAAAAGGTGGAAGAAAACCCGTGTTTAATCACAATACTGTCAGCTTCTCGGCGGTCGAACCTGCAACTTAATCATAATTAATTCTGGGGAAGGCTGCGGGGAGGAGGGCTACTCTCATCATCCCGGGACCGGAGTGAAAACCTCACCGCAAGCTCCTCTTGCAGCGGAATAATTAGCAGCACCGGTGTGTGTGTGTGTGTGAGACAGGCTGTATTGGACTCAAGAAAAGGCTGGTGGACCGGAGAGGACAAGTGTGGACCCTGTGAAGTTTTAGTGTGACAGCCGGGGTTTTTTTTTTAAGGAGCGCGGCGGACCGGAGAGAAAGTGTTGTGGAGGTTATAGCCCCCCCCGCCACCCCCAGTCAATGCGTCGGCTCCCGGTGTCTACTGATGGACTGAGCCCGGTGGCATTCGGACCAGCTCCCCCTCGTTTTCAGCAGTTTTAGTCGGTAAGCCACAAAGCCGAGTCCTTTTATGTGTTTATCTGAAATATTGAATTTTAATGTGCTCAATTACTTTTTTT